ATTGTTGAAAATGAAATTTTCCGCCTATTGTTTTGTTTTCTGTCATCAATCCACAGAGCTTAAAGTTTGGAACTACACCTGTAGATCACATTAGATTTTCTTTCCCTTTTTTTCCAACAAACAAATTGTTCAAATTTTGGAAAGGAAACGTTAATCTCTCTCCCTTTTTTGGTAATTTTCTTGGCAAGGCCTGCTGAAGTTGAAAGGCTGCATGCAATATTGCAGTAGGAATCCTGGAATACTGTAGTAATGACAATTGATCCAAGTCACCAGAATTCCGAGGGCTGCCACATCCGTTGTTTGATGTCGCTCTCCTTCCTGTTTCTGCCAGTATGATGCACAAATTGCTCTTCCACAAACCCTGCTATTTTTCCCTGTTATTTTCAGGATGTTAATGCTGTGCTTCAAATGTCTTTCCCAGGATGGCGTGAAGTATGACTGAAATTTACTCCTTTTTGATTCAGTTTGCTATGGTGATTATGCTAGCGTGAATTCAATCTCAAGTTTCTCTGTTCTGTGTAAAATTCAGGTACAAATGTTCAGATCCATACAAACATGAGCATTTTTGTCAGCGGCTTTTGCCAGCTGCATGTAGCTGGTATACGCAGTATTCAACAAGCCGTGTTGGAAAATCAAGTGTTTGGATAAATTTGTGTACAATATAGACAGCACAGTATTGAGGCTTGAATGCACTGTACCTAATAGTATGGGTCTATAACTTCAGAAATTATTTGATCAAACAGAAATTTTTGTGGCTTTTGTAAATGTTAGGCTCACTGACAGGGCTTTTAGGGTCTACAAGTTTTTGCTTGTGTTGAGAAACAGAGACTTACCCGGTACATGTACAGGCACATGTCTGGATTACATGTATATGTATATGTACATGTACGTGTGGGCCTGCAATAGTGGAGGATATTGTGCAAGTTACATGTTCAAGTTGCAAACTTAACACCAATGTCTGTCTCATCGTGAACTTGTTGTGATGTGCACGTACATGTACTCTTCTTCAAATCTGCGTTTGCTTCAAGAAAAAAAAAACCAAACGTGCAGGCCTGCGGTGGTGAAAGATAGGTGCATTTGTGACCAGTTTCTGCATGCCCAGCACAGATACAATATTCTCATCAGAAACTTCATGTGCATGTGGTAATGTGCATAGTCTGATTGGGAGCAAGAAAAAAAAAAAGAAAATCGGAATGAACTGCTTCCTTATCAAGTTCAGTATCCCAGGTTTCAGGAAGTGGCTTTTTTCGTGGGCATTTCCTGGTTGCAGAACTGTATCGCAGACTTCAAGATTTTGTCCTTTGTCAAACGTTGGCCACCAAGTTCACTGAATAATGAAAAGATGCACAAGGAAAACATGCAGTTTTGATGGAACAGTAAACAGAGGGGATGAATTGAATAAACAAGCAAATAAACCCTGCCTTGTTTACATGTATGTAACAACATATACATGTACATCCTGCGTACATGTACATTGTATGTGTGTACGCATAAATGAAAGTGTAGAAATGTATGTTTCTGATGTAATGTGAACTAAACTACTTTCTGAAAGGGGATACGTACTGCAATATTTCGACTGGCCTGAAGGTGTTTTTACTTAACCCAACCATTGGATTACGTGCATCCTCACCGATGAAAGATACGTCTAGTTCGTGCCGGGACATGAGAATGAGAGATCAAATTTGATTTGGGTAGATATCGAATAGAGTATCAGAGGTCCCAATTTGAGTTCTGGAGAAAGTGTATCTATTACATATAGCGTCTCTCTGTCTGTTGATAATCACCTCGGTGTAGTATCATGCACACAACAAGAGTACATTACAGAGGACGGGGGAGGGGGTGATTGGAGTCGTTGTCCGGCTTCCTTGCCCACCCCCCTGACCAATATTAATAATCCTAGCACAGTTTCTAGTCTAGAGTTAACATCATATGATTTTGGAAATCTCAGCTTATTGCCTCAGTGCATTTGGCGTCTCTGTTCACTTCAAACTCCCTGCAACCTCTTCCCTTTGTCACTGACATTCATATCTCGTCCACAACCTCCTCCCCCCAAAACTCACGGATACCACCTCCTGCATAAGCATCAGAATGCTAAATGTTCATTAATTTCCATTACACAGATTCAAAATCCTGTGTGTCTAAATTGAATGTAATGATCATTATTCAAGTCCCAATGCAATGTGGTCTCTGTCGGTCAGCTGGCCTCTCCAAGTACGTACATATGCGTGTACCCCCTCACTGTCGACGAGGGGAGACACTGGTTGAACAACAACCTTCTCCGCCGAGTACCAAACACCCACGCAAATACCGTACTCTCCAATGAGAGTTGGTCATGCATGCCCCATACCATACATGCACGCCCAAGGCTAGGATGAGCATGCTGTGTGTCACGCTGACAGATGTCTTTGCTAGTGGAGAGTGGTATCCCTTGTCCCACAAAGCCCATTATTTGCCGAGTTGAAGAAAATACCGTCACATGTATGGTACATATGCATGTATAGAAATGAAACAAAACCGATGACATATTCCAAGTTTTGCTTCGAGTGCATATGTACATGTGTGTATATACATGTATATGTATTCTTCCCACTTTCAACTGCCCTTGTTCTGAATCAGGAAGTTACACGCTACAGTGGAAGTGTTTGGAAGGTGTGTACGTACATGTACTTCATGTACATGTATGAAGAGGAAATTTAGAACAGCAATCGCAAAATATTGATGAGAATTCTTGCCCTTGTCTCTGCAGACACGCGAGTGTTCATGCTTTGCTTCAGGCTCCAATCTGTGACCTTACATCCTTCAGCACCTGTCCGGGCCTTGTGACCTCATCACTGGAACTCTCCTCCAAGGTCAAAGTTCATCACACGCAGAAGCCCAGGCAAAAGGTCCTCAACACCTCTTGGAGCACTGCGCACACAATGTTGCGTGGAGTGCAGCACGTTCCATAGTGGATGTACATGCTTGTACAGTGTAGACTCAGTATCAGGCTGCACTTGAACTGATCTGCAACATGGTCATGGATGCTGGTATTATCAATGGGAGGATTGCCAGTCTCCCTCCGCAGCCGTCCCGAGTGGTCAAGGTGGTCCTCTGCTGCACAAAATCAGGTGAGATTTGCACACATTGTATTGAAGTCCTCCTGCGTGTTCAGGATTGGAGGCTATTTTCATTTCAAAATCAAGTGACATTGTGCCGGTACAGGTACATGTATATTTCATGTGATCAGATTTCCTGCCAATTTGTCAAAGTGGCTGGAGCACAAGCTTCAAGAAATTAAGTCTCCACTATGAATTTTGCATGGTGTTAAGTTGAATTGGTTGTAGGCCTGGAGAGTCAGACCAATGAATCACTGTCCAATGCTGTATCTTGCAACAGCTATTTCAGGATGGTATTTTTTTTCACCTGCCGATGCCAGAGGACAGCACCAGGAACATTTTCTTACCTGGTGATTGCCCCATAGACCAGGTACGAACCTGCCCACCTTCCAGAAACATTTTTAAGGCAGTGAATCAAATGAGAAATTCTTGACACTGATTGCTGAACAAATATAAAAAGTTCAAGCTTTAACCTACACTGAGTTAAGCACAGCAAATTAAGATTGCCCAGTGAACAGAAAAGGCAAAGAAAAATGCAAACTCTGTTTGGTAATTTGGAAAAACTCATGTCATGGCTATTTGTGTGATTGCACAAGCCCTAAACCAGACTTAACACCAGAAAAACCTTTTGCTTTACCAGCAGTTACTGGTGAAATTTTGTCATAGACAGTACAGATTCTACAACTCTGATTGTCCATATCAGTAATTTTGTAAATTTGTCCATATATGTACTTAAGGGACCCTAATGGAAATAAGCCTGTGTAATTGGCTTTCTTGGGTTATCCCAGAATGAATCAACTGTATCTTGTTTTCTCTGTGTACGATTGTTGCTTAGTTGATTGATTTCTGAATAAAATAATAATAGTAATAGTCAGTTGCCACTTTACAGGGTCAGCTTTTTGTGATACGACAACAAAACACGTAAACACAAAACAAAGACTTCAAAAAACCCAAACTGCCAACAGTTAGCTTTGTGCTTGACGGGTCTCATCGTCGGACAATGAGCAAATACATGCAAAGACATGTACGTGACCCGACCTGACAGAATGAGCCAGAAGTTTCCACAGCCATTTTTGAGTTTCAGGCCTTTACAAGAATCTTGCACAATGTAAAGCAGTGGAAATCCATAACACGTTCAATCCATCAGGACACTATAACTGAGTCTCTTGCACATCTGAACTAACAGCACTGGAGCAAAAATGGCCTCAGGCTTATTTTGTGGGATCTGATCACATATGCAAATGGCACATATGTAAGCATAATTATGTGTGTTTACCGGAATAAAGGTTGCAATTTGTTGTTCTCTGTTTTGTTTTGCAATGAGTGTTGAACTTTTGACAGAAAGCCATTTGTGTAATTGCCTGACTCAGCAGGACAGACTAACCTTCCCCTCCGAATAATATTGAAAGAACATATTGCCTGCAGAATGTCACTGTGTAGGATTCTGTTTTGGTTCAGCATTGATTACCTACAGTATAAGGACACGCACCACAACACGTCTGCTCCATCTCACTCGCCGTAATGACCATCTCCCCCCCCTCCTCCCCACAAGCAGTGCACGCTTTCCCTCTGTGTAACCCCCAGGATGCCGCATCTAAACAACCCCCCAAGATTGAATCAGCTCCTTCGTGGCCTCTACAAACATTCCTATTTTGTCACCTTGAGCGATGTGGTGCTGGCTTTCAGATCCGTTGAAAGCTGAACGTCTCTAAAGGCATCCTGACCACTCATACCTATCTATCTGTCAACTTGAATTACATAAAAGGCAGCACTCTGGATAATTACATATATCTTGGTTACGTTTGGTTCAGCAGCAGTTGGCAGTAGTCGGCCGACTTTATTCTTCTCTGTTGGCATTTCGGATAAACTTAGAGCGATTTCTCGGGTTTGATGCATTTTCCTCAGAACTTGTCAAATAGACAATAGAGAATTATTTCCTAAAGGTACCAGAACTCGTGAAATAGACAATGATAGAGATTTATTTCCTACATCTATGTGAGTGGATTGAGTGAATTAGACATACATGTATATATTATTATGAAAAATTGCAGCAAGATACTAAACATAGTAAAGATGATTGTGGCTTTCATCATTGTGACATCAGTGGACGATGGATGTGTTGAGTAGTTGGCAGTGTCAAAGTCCACAGATCACTGTCCTGGAGTAAGAGACGGAGATGAGCCGTCAGCAACACGAATTATCACAGATAAATCCAGTGCTACTGACAACACAATATCGATGCTGTAGATCAAAACCTTGGTGAGGGGGGGATGCACAGAAGGTTGGGGAGTAACGTGAACTTGGAAGTCTCATAGGTAACACTGAGGCTGTCGTAAGACTCCATGCACTCTACATGAAGATTTGCAATATCAATTCTACCAATGTTGTTCCCACTACATGCACACACACTACATGTACCAGTATCTGCTCAAGATTTACAAACAGTTGCATCAAGGATGGAAGGAACTTGAATTGACACGGTCTCCGGCACCAGGACATTGGTAGCATGGCCAGTGTGGACACAGTTCCTGCAATGTCATTGTAGTCGGTCTCAATTTTTACTGGAATTGTGAAAACAGGAAAAGGAGGAAGCTTGAAACGGTATCCCGCAAACAGCATGTACATTATGTACGTACATGTACATGTATGTTTGTTCTGGAACTGTCCATGTACCGGTTCTGATACATTCACAGTTTATCCGATATGACCTTCCTCCGCTACATGTACATGTAAGTATTGAGTATTTGCTGAATCTCCTTAAAGGTACATGTACATGTATTGCGGGTACACCATGTAAGTAGCTATCTCTTTTGGAAAGAGTGGGGTTATGAAGAAAAAACGGCGATTAAGAAGTCAACGTTTCAACCAAAAGCCCTGGTTGTCCGAAAGTTCAAAAAAGGTTTCTGACATAGTGCAGCCGCAAATCTCATACAAGTTGGCCATCACCATGCACAGCGTTGATGAGGTTTCAGCCGATTAATTTTTTTTTCTTCAAAGTTTGCACTCATGATTTCTGAGAGGTGTCAAGGTGTTTGATTGCAGTGTTGCATGAAACATTAACCACATCATTGCCAATACACACACCATGCATGTACCAGTACACGTACATGTACATACCGTACAAAGGCAGGAGAAAGTGTCCATTCACATACCATCTGCCCCAAGCTGAAGTGCACCCCTAATCGACAAAAAGAAAGACAGGTGGTTACAAGCGGTTTCTTGCACGTGTTCTGCGTGTACGCAAAGACCATACATGTACATGCTGGAGTAAATTAGTTACGCGTACTAAGCGTGCTCCGCGTCAAACGCGCATAAACATGTATTTGCTTGCCTCATGGCCCGCCTATGTGATGAGGACCAAAAAAAACACGCCCTCTTTTGTTCCACTTGGAGCGGATTGCTCTATGCACTGAGCACTCTGTACCCAGGTGGGCAGTATCAAGTTTACCATTGACAAAATGCAAGTACCTTTGGCTTAATGGCTTGATTAAATTTACGAATGTGTACACGGATGTCCAGCATCATGAATTCCACTCCCAGCCAAAGATCTTGATCATCTTGATAGGCGAGAGGGAATAGAGGATGACCTTTTGTAGTTCATGAGGGCTTTAATAGTGCAGCAAATACCTTTCACTTCACCACAGTAACCACTTAAGTGCCCTAGTTATGCCCAAAGAAGGCAGCCAGTGTGCCTGTGTACATTTATATTTAATTAGTCTTCAATGTAAAGAGTGTACGTTTGTGTGGGTTTGTTGGCCATCACTAAGCAACGTGGTCTGTAGCACCTTCGCGACGCTAAGCTTCCAGCCAAAGACAATGTTAGGATTTTTTTTTCAGAAGAGTACATGTACATGTCCCTGGAGCCGAGTTGTTGAAATAAAGCATACAAGTATCTTTTGCTTGTGCCTTAGATACCGTCCATACTATGACATCCATGGTACGAGTAGTCAACATGGTTTTTGCCCTCACTCTGAATGATTAGCTGAGATTTTTAATTTGCAATGTTATGTTGTGCCATTATTTCAGGAGAGAACATTTTGGAGGTTTTAGTAACAAGAATGTTAACAGGGCTGGTTAGAAAGAAGGTTGGGTTCGCAGACACTTGAAAACTCCCACCTCCACAATGTTCTCTCAAGCACATTGGAAGTACCAACTTCGTCTTGAAAAAGATTTCCATGGAAATGGAGAATCCAAAGAATGCCATTTAACCCTAACACTCCTCAGTCCTCCAACAGGTGAAGGATTGAGGAGGGTTAGGGTTAAGGTCCATACATGGTTGTCTGCAGAAAGTCTTGTGAGTTTCATGCATTGATTAATGAAAACATTCTTGGCAAATGCTTTCGCAGTGGGTCGTCTTGCAGTGATCCAAGAATTTCACCTCTGACACTGCAATACAAATGCCCTCGTCAGTCCCTCTTAATCATTACCTCAAGTTCCGAAAACCAACACAATAGAACCGAGGTCCTATTCCATTATTCCATGCTCTGCTGTCCAGGTGGTCGGCCTGCTTTGAACACTCCAGTTTTTTCGAAGAAACCGTTTCGGCCGCGCTTGGCACTCAGTCAAGAGAACCGGGCTGAGACTGAGAGGAAGGCCAGGTGGGCAGTGGCGTGCCTTGCGGCGGACTGCAAGCCTGCGCCTAAGATCCAACTACGAGCTTTTAACTGCAGCAATTTTAATATACATTATTGGAGCTGGAATTACCGCGGCTGCTGGCACCAGAATTGGCCTCTAGTAGATCCTCGTTAATGCACTCATGGCAACTAATGTACATTGGGGAAAAGACGCTGTGCCAACCTTACTTAATGCAGGTGCTGGTACCTACCATAATGTGGACCCGTGAGCAAAACAAATACACGTTATGCAACTTGTACAAACTTTGTGTGGACTGTACAAGTTTAACTCTCCCCCTCCCCCAAAAAACAGTTTTTAACCACTTCCTACCGGGGACTCCGGGATCGGAGATGTATGGTTTATATGGGTGGCCGGGGTCTCCGAACTCGGACAAAGGA